TTGTAGACTTGAGAATTTTAGTTTTTCATAAAAGTGAGAGGGAGAAAAAGTTTCAACAGCACTCACAATAAGATCTCATTTAAGATAATTATGGCACCTATCAATACTTTAAAACTTGTTCAGTATATCTTGCAGAATGTAATTTATTGTAAATTATATTTTTAAACAGCACATTATAAAATGTTCAAACAAGATCCACAGAGTTAAATCAAGAGTTAAGTAATATTGCCTCATACCCTTTTAATGGATTTTTTTATGTGAAATGATTCTAAGCCTTTGCTGTATAAGTTAAAACCCATTGTTTGTTATCAGTTTTGAGGAAATGAGGGCAGTACTGTTAAGAGTTAAATTTCCTGTGTAATACAGGCATAAAATCTCTACCCTTTGAATGTGTAACTGTAATAACAAAGAGTTTCATTAAAAAGGATTTATGGCTCAGCTTTGCTCAGGAAGCTGTAGTGCTTTGGGATGAATGATACAGTGTAAAAAAATTACTCGGTGATCTCATGTGTTTCCTTGGAGATGCTGGGAGCAGACCTCAGTATAGTTTCTCAACACAAAGAACATTTTTTACAATTACTTGATCAAATCATCTTGTTTCAAGAGGGAGCATCCTGTGACAGGACCCATCACATTATTATTAATGCCCAGTCACCGTTTACTATCTTTTGCTAAGTGCTCTAGATAACAGAATTCAGAATTTTTATTTGTTTGATGGAGTTGATTTTGGTTCTGTACAAAACTGTTGTCATACAACTATTGTCATCGACTTTTATTAGGATAGACTCTGCCACTGTTAAGCACTCCGAGAAACTACCTCGCATGAAGGGCCCTGTATAAATGCCAGTTCTTGTTGATAGACTAGATTAGTTCAGCCTTTTTTCACTAGAGAAGAGTCATTTAAGGGGGATCCCATAGCGGTGTTTAAAATTTCAAAAGAGTTCAATTAGGTTAACTTAAATAAGCGGTTTCCACTAGTTGGGGAGTTTGTAACCAGAGGACAGAAATACAATTTTGCGGTTAGGGGATCAAAAAGAGAATTAAGGAGGAGCTTGTGTAGCTCGCTGCCTGAAGCAGTGGTTGAATCAGATAGTATAGATGCATTCAGACGCGAGACCTTCACATGAGGGAAAGGGAAACCAGAAGGGTATGGGAAGGAGAAAAGAATGCGTTGAGACTCATGTGGAGTATAAACACCAGCATGGACTGGTTGGGCCGAGGCGTCTTTTGCTGTAGTGTGTGTTCTTTATAAATCTTTATGTTCTTTGGAGGTTCCCTGGGGGTAATTACATTAGGTTTTAGAAAGTGAGGGACTCAAATCTGCCACCTTCAGCACAAGACAAATTCACTGCCTTCAAATTGCTTGAAGTGCGTTTCACCTTGTGTGTTTCTTTTGAATGTTACTTTTAACATTTCATAGCTTTAAGTATACAATTACTATATATGTAACTGAAGCATAATATGGAGTATGTTCTAGTCCGATTTGTTTACCCCCCACTCCACCACCCGCTGACTCTGCTCAGCCAGCTGCTGCCTACTGATCGTCCGTCTGCTCTACCATCCACGGCCATGCTTTCAGCCACTACACCCCGAAGCTCTGGAACTCCCTCCCTCGATTCCTCCGCCTTGCCCCCTCCCTCCCCACTTTCAAATTCTGCCTAAAGAATTTTCTTCTTGATCGTACTTACGGTCACCTCCCCCCTCTGTCTCCCCCTGGCTCAGGGTCAGACTCCACCACTGTCAAGCAAGCTATGAAATTGCACCCTTCATTGTATTGTAATAAGTAATTTGTTGTTGACTCCTAGAAGTATTTACACCCTGGTTTGACGCAGAGTAAACCTCACTCACTTTTTGTCTCCGAACACATCTCAGCCTCAATCTCAGAAAAGGCACCTTTTGTCACTCCAGTTACCTCTCAGAGTGAAATTCTTCAATTATTTTCTAAAATAGCAGTAAATATTTTAGCCAGATTTTATTCCATTCATTAAAGAAAAAAAACGTGGAAAATGGGATTAATGTGTTTTTTAGAGAGAAAGGTAAAATTTTTTTTAAAAAAGTAGGAGAGGCACAGATACTGTTTCTCCACCTTTCCATGCAGATAATTTCAGTGTTTCAATTTAGTTTTTGGCCCATTTTTAGAAATGTGATGCATGTTTTGCTTTGTAGTGTCAAAACACAATGATGTTCGCGGCAAGGGATTAATGATTGGGAGATCATCACAACAGGTTTGTTCAGAATCAGGTTGCAGGCAGTAACAGGAAATAACTTCTGTACAGGTCCAAATATTAAGTTATAGAGACATAACTATACTGTTTGAAGTTGGGGAAAAAACGTGCCAGAGAGCATGAGGAAATAACTCCTCAAAGGAAAGGTGCAAGAGAGACCCTCACCTAATCTGATAGCAATACTTATGCACACCTGGCTGAACAAAGCACAGTTAGACACTTTATAGAAGTCATTTGTAGAAGAGCTGCATTTGATCCTGAATTGATTTACAATCAGAGAGTACACGTGACAGCACAATATTGCATTTAACCGGTTTTGTTTTCTTTTTCCATGACTGACAATGCACTTTGACAGATTTATTTACAATATCATCATTCTTTTTTCACTCCTCCAATGTTATGTACTTGTTATCCTTATTACAATATTATCCTTTTAAAGCGTTCATTGGTTCCAGGGGCTGGTTGTTGGGTTGGGGTGTGGGGGTGGGAGAGGGGTGGGGGGAGAGGCAGGGAGGAATAAAGAGGAGGAAAAGGTTACTAGGGAAGTTTCCATGTTTCCAGTTGAGGAATTCAATGCCTGGTGGATCCAGATCTGTTGTATTCAACAAAATGGCCAAAACAATTCTTATAACCATGGCGATTAGAGAGAGAAAGAAAGAATCAATTTCACTTGTAAAACTCCCACACTTATTCCACAGTGTAAGAATTTTGTAATTTTCATGTTTGGGAATCCCATTGTGATTGTATATGAATAATGCAAATCCCTGAAATAGCAATTTGCCAGCCTAACACTATATCACAGTCCACTGATGAGGAAGGCACTCCACCTAGGGGTCTAACTGGTGGGTTTTTTCCTTACATGATTGGTGTGGATGAAGAATTAATGCCCTTTGGCCCATTTGATCTTTTCCTTCCAGAATAGCCATCCTACTATCTTCCCATTGCAGCATTGATCTGTACCATATCCCATAATGTTATTTCCTAAAAGAAAACTATGTAATCTGTGTTTGAAAGAATCAACACTTCCTGCTTCAACCGTCTCCTTAGGGAGCCTGTTCCACAGGTTCACTGTTCACTCATTGAAATAGTCTTTGGGTAGATTTGTTCTGAATTTACCCCCCTTCAATCTCAGGCCGCGTCCTCTGGTTTTACTGTTCTGGACAAGTTGAAACAGCCTGTAGTGATCTATATTGTCTCGCCCCTTTAGAATCTTAAAGAGAGAAATCAAATCGCCTCTCAATCTTTCTTTTCCAGCGTGAACATGCCCAATTTATTTAGTCGCTCCTCGTAGTCCAGTCCCTCCATTTCCTCAATCGTTTTGATTGCCCTCCTCTGTATCTTCTCAATTTCTCCCATATCCTTTTTGTACTGCGGCAACCAGAACTGTACCCAGTACTCTAAGTATGATCTCACCAATGATTTATACAGTGGCAGGATTACCCCACTATTTTGGCTTGCTATTGATCTTTCGATACATCCCAACATCTGGTTTGCTTTACTCACTGCCACAGAGCATTGTTGGGAGAGCTTGAATTTATTGTCAAGATCAGAATTTATTGTATAGATCAGAAAGCTGATTTATACTTTGAACTCCACATTGCTGTGAGTCAGAGGCCAAAATTATTACAGTTCTTGCCCAAGTCATTTGGCAAAGTATCATGCTATATGATGTTGTGGCTTTTGGATTCCTGTAACATATTGGTTAGGGCACTCACCTCGCAAGTGAGAGGATCCGGCTTTGATTTCCGGGCAGGGCAAAAACCTGAAGCAAGTTTCCTTACTCCACACGCCTCTGTTTACCTTGCAGTAAGTAGGAACCCGTTTTTTAGTTGATTGGCAGATCGCCCTTTCCAGGGACAATAATACCTTCAAAAAAAATAAATAAATTGGTCACTTCAATCCAAGACTGCTGCATTTCGCCCACAAAATATGCAGTCAATTCACTTTACAGTATACTCTGTGAAACGCTTTCAGATGTCTCAAAGATGTGATAAGGCCTCATATTAAATGCAAGGACTATTATTAAAGCAGTCTGGAATGATATCCTGTGTGAGAGGCGCTATACAAATGCAAGTTGTTGTTTTTGCTAATACAATTCTTGACCAACCATCCTTTTTGCACCAATAAGCAAAACTTGCGATGAATAAGGCAATGCTATTTGTTTTCCAAAATGAGGGAAGCCATGTGCTGGGATACCATATACGCAAAACAATGAAGGAAAAAGATAGAGAAATAAAACAGAGAGGAACTGATCAAGAACTAGAACATTTTTAATGAAAATTTTGCCAAGGTTTATTTTATAGAATAGACAGTACTATTTTTCCTATCGTTATTCTGATCAAAGCAGTTAACAATGCGACAGAAGGAGCATCGCATGAGAAGTGTGCAGAATGGAACTTGCGTAGTTATAGCGACACCAAGATCACCAAACATAAGAGCTGCGTCCTGGATTTCATGTAATTCATAAATATGGAACTTTGCAGATACCCAGAGTTGCATCCTGCCAGCCCATGGAAACGGTACTTTGATATGTCAGGAAGGAGATTGTGTCGGCACAGAATTCCTGCGTCAACATGATGGGAAGATTCAATATTATGAATCGTGTTTGAATACGATTCATCATATTGAATCTTAATAATAAATCGCTCTGCCTCAGGACACTACCCTGCGTGAGGCGTGCTATATAAATGCAAGTTGTTATTGTTGAATACATTGCAAATCCAGGTACTGACTCTTGCCTTGTAGCCCTCAATGTTGAACGGTTATTTCTTTCAGGACCAAACCAGGGATGTGGCGGATATCTGAATAGCACAAGTGGCACCTTTGGCTCACCAGATATGGAATTTGATGGCAAATATGAAAAGAATTTAAACTGTCTGTGGAACATTTCCGCACCTGATAACCACTTCATCAACATCACTTTCACAGCCTTTCAGCTTGAGGCTGAAACTGATGGTGTTTGCCATGATTACCTCAGCGTAAGTACCACAGAAATTGAGTACCCACTCACAGGTAAAATAAATGTGTACAACGCTTCCATGTTAACAAAAATCTGTACATTTGATATAACACTTTTCATGTTGAGAGGACACCTTAAAGCACTTCACAAGATCTACTGTAAAGCATTTCACAGGGTATAATGTAAAGTGCAGTGTCTATGCTGTATTTTACAGGCAAATATACCAAATCATTTGCAGATAGCGTTGTCCTACAAACAATTATGAAGTGAATAATTGTTTTTAATTTGGGGGATTGTTTGCCAGGACACAAGAAGAAACTCCCTTCACTTTTTGTAGAATGCCAGGGATCTTTATCACCACCTGAAGAGGCAGGCACAATTATTTATGATTATTATTATATACACATTATATATGAGGTTTCCCCCAGTATAATATACATTGATAATTTCCTGCTAACAGTTCTGAATAATCGTGCTGTGATTATCTCACAATAATATTAGTGTTCAATATTAGTGTCAAACCTTTGTTTTTTGTGACATTTTCAGATCTACGATGAGAGTTCTAAATTAATTGGTACTTACTGTGGGTCTCAATTACCTTTCTCCGTGGTCTCTACTTATAACTTACTCGCCGTGAAGTTTTTCTCAAATGCCTTCATTGAATTAGCTGGTTTCAACGTAACATACAAGACCCATGAATGTAAGTATAATGAGGGCACACTGCGGATTGTAAAACTGGGTGGGGATATTTGTTTCTCTGTGTGAACTAATAGTTAGTAACATTTTGAATAAGGTACCATTTTTAATCCATTCAAAATAGTAAATTAATATCCTTTGGAAATAATATTGTATGGCCGGATCTAACACTTCATATATTCACAATACAATTCAATACAAAATTACATTTGTATAAAGCTTTCACAGCGGAAGGACGTCCCAAGGCGCTGGACAGTCAGGTATTTGGACTCAAGCTGGGGGTCGGGATCGGGGAGGGTAGGAGGGTGGCCGAAGGCTCAGTCGAAGAGGAGGATTTTGAGAAGCGCCTTGAAGTACGCAAGGGAGGGAGCGAGGTGAAAGGAATGCGAGATGGAGTTCCATAGGGTGGGGGACACAAGATCGGTTTGGATAAAGAAAGCTCTTCAACCCATCCGATCTCACCCCTCCAGAATACCCACCTTTCCGTCTTCCCATCACGTCAAAGTTTTTTAAACGAGTCCAGTAACCTGGTCTCAACCACTCTTCCTGGCAACCTGTTCCAATTGTTAGTTTAAAGAAAAAATTCCCACTCTCTGTCCTGAAATGTCTCTTTGCATCCCTAAACATATGTCCTGTTGTTCTATGGTACTGATGATTCCTAATGTTTTGTTCCGGGTTTGTTTTTTAAATCCCATTTAAAATTTTATACACTTCTATAAGATCCCCTCTGAGACAGTGCCATTCAAGACTGAAGAGTCCTAACTTGTCTGATTGTTGCTCATAGCGCTGTCCTTTAACACTCTAATATTACATTGAGAGAGGAATATCGCCAGTCAATCCTAACTGCTTAAGGGGAAGTTGCATGTCGGGGTGAAAAATAGCAAACTTCATAATAGATTTGATGTGATAATTTTTGCATCGAATATTTTTGGGTCAATTGGAATTGGTTTGGAAATGGCAGAATTTCAATAATCGACTGGTTTCGGGTCTGAATACATCTGCAACTTTGCTAAATGGTTTGGTCAGAATGATCATTTCAAAATTGTTCAGCTTGTATCTTGGATTAGACCCCAGTGAAATAGGACAAAAATAGTGGTTTATGAGCCTAGTGGTAGCATATCAGTCCTGTTTTACAAGATACAAGCATTGAGCTTGTATCCTATTTTTAGATGTTTTAATATGTTCTTTCCATAGAGATCTTTGAGCACAACTAGTGTGTCAAAACCAGATGGGTGTCCTAACCCCAAAACACATACACCAATTATTAACTTTATTCCAACAGTGGCCCTCCCTGGAACTGCGACCCCAAACCCACTTTGCTTTCCTCCCTCCTTCCTCTCTTGCAGTCATTCACTCACTCACCTTCTCTTTCTCCTTTCTTTTTTCAACCCTCTGAAACTTAATTTGGGTATAAACCAGACATTTAACTAGTTGATGGCAAAGCTGATCAAACACGCTAAAAAAAGATGCATTTAACTAGAAAGAACTTAACTTACTTAATAGTATTAATAAAGATTTGGTATAGCATCTTATCACATCTTCAAGATGTCTCAAAGCACTTCACAGAATTTACTGTAAACTGTAGTGACTGTATATTTTGTGGGAGAATAGTTTTCCCATTTGCCTCCATATTCACAGTCACTACATTTTCAGAATCCTCTGTGATGCGCTTTGAGATATTTTGATGTGTTAAGGTGCAATATCAAATGCAAGCATCAATATTATTTATCAAAATATTAGGGAACAACTCAAATTATACATCAAAATGACTTGCAACAGTGTGGGTCTGGTGCCACCTACTGTTCAAAAACAGTCTGCAATAATAATAATAATAATCATTTGATACAGTGTCTTTCAATCACATCAAGCGATATCTCAATATGCTTCACAGAATTTACTGTAAAATGTAGTGACTGTGTATTTAGTAGGAAGCACTCTGAATTCTGTTGTAATGGTTCAGGTAGTAGAATGAACTGTTTTTTTAATTGCATTGTTCAGTGAAATCAATAAAGCCAATTGCCAAAGAAACTTACAATCTGATACAAAATGACATTTGTAAAGTGCCATTCACATCAGGAGGACATCCCAAGGCGCTGAACTGGGACCCGAGCGGTGGGGGGTTCTGGATCAGGGAGGGTGGTGGTAGGAAGGTGGCCAAAGGCACCGTTGTAGAGGAGGGTCTTGAGACATGTCTTGAAGGAAGCAAGGGAGGGAGCGAGGCAAAGCGAATGTGGGATGGAGTTCCAGAGGGTGGGGCCAGAGAGGTTTAAGGCCCGACTGCCGATGGTGGGATGGGCGGGGGACATGGAGCAGTCTGGAGACTGCTGAACAGAGGGAGATCCACACTTGAATGGGATCCACACAACAAACCCACATTTTAACGACCGTATGATTTTATTTTGTTTTCAGTTGTCAATCTACCTATTTGTGTGTTTGTTTTTTCTAGACCCTTGTGGTGGAAAGTTCAAGGCTAACAGCACATCTCAGATCCTTACATCTCCTGAATATCCAAATAACTATCCACCTCTTACTATTTGCCACTGGATCATTGACGCTCCTGAAAATGAACAAGTCGGAGTGGTTATACAGGAGCTGGATTTACCAGCCACCCCCAACTGTAGTCTGGAATACCTCGAGATTAAAGACTCCCATATATTGGTAAAATATGCATGATAACATGTAGGGTACATATGATAACACTGGCACAGAATGCTCGATAGATGTGGCAAGGATTGATATGTTCTTCGCGAGCATGAGTTTTCACACCATGAACTGGACTTTCTAAGATTGACCAAATATTGTTTTTGTGAAACATTCATTCCACCAGACTGTCCTGTGGGATGGGAATGGTGGCGGTCTGTGATAGTCTATGCACTTCCATGTACAGCCTGCACGTTTGCCATGTTTTAGCATGAGAGTTCTGTACATCAGCCATCTATGTGCATGATTGCTGAATGGGATCCAGACTGAATGGGATCCACGCAACACTCGTGCAATAAGAAAACCCACTTTATAATGACAAAAGTGATGTTTGAGATTTCAGACCCCAGCACAGTATGGATCTATTCAGTACAAAAGAAATGACAGCATGTTTCATAGTTTTGAACCTTTTTCATTTGTGTTTAAAGTGTTTTCATTTCTCTTCTCAGGGTGATAACGGTCAGAATATCCGATTGTGTGGCTCCAATTTAATCATCCCAGCTTTCTATTCATATGGCCACAGGTTTAGAATCAACTTCTACTCAAAAGTATACCAGAATGGAAATAAATTACATCTAACATACCAATCTACAAGTAAGCTTTGCGAAATTATATATCGCGGTACAATGTACTAGCCACCAACATAAAACAGTTTACAAAGGATTTCTGTACTTTGACATTCTTTCCTTATATCATACTTTACTTGTTCCTTATGAAATATTGCAAATTGTCTTGTACAGTAAGACTCACATATGGCATATCAGTCAGGACCATAACATTTAATATGACTTACATGAAGTCCGAGTTGCAGCAAACTTGCGCAAATCGTATAAAATCCAATTTAATCAATAATCTACAATGAGCATGCGTAATTCAATGCAGCCAGTAAGTGCGCATGCAGTAATTCGTCACTGCAGGCGTTAAATGCACATGTAGTGATGGATCAAGACTATATTTCCCGCTATTCAGTGCACGTCGGCTGGTAAATCTGCATGGGTCAACAGGTCAGGACTTCATTTTCCACAATTCAATGCAGCTGGTAAGTGTGGGATAATGGAGAATAGGGGCATCACAAGTAACACGATGATTAATATGAATAGTGCGAAGAAATCTAAGTGGTTTTGAATAGGAAACTGAATTGGACTCAGATGGATGTACTTAGGCAATTATATGATTTATAAAGATAAGACTTGTGCGAGTATTACTGTACATTTAATACAATCTCCAATATTTATTCACGAGCTGAACTACATGAGTAGTTGTCTCTTGGTTCTTATAAATAAGGTGTCGCATTTGCTTTTCTCTAATTTCAGGCATTTTCCAGTTTCCATTCATTCCCAAATATACCCACCAAGATGTGCCTGATTTTTTCCAGTACTCTTGTGTGTAGCCCTTCTGCCTTATTGTCTTATAGTGCCATTAATCGATTGAGGGTATAGCAGACAGGCAAATCCATCACATTTGGTAGCACTCTCACCTCTGGGTCAGCAGATGTGAGTCCAGCTCCACCTCAGGATTTTGAACATATCCTAGTCTGACAGTGCTAGAGAAGTGGCACATTGTTGGAGATGTTATCATTTGGATGATATATTAAATCGAGGTCCTTCCTGCCTGTTCAATAATAGCAATCTTTGCATTTGATATAGCGCCTTATCACATAATTAAGACATCTCAAAGCGCTTCACGGGATATACTGTTAAGTGGATTGACTGTATATTTTGTAGGCAGCTGATGCTAATTCGCGCACAGTAGTGTCCCACAAACAGCTATGGAGTGAGGCAAGTTCAAGTGGACACTGAAAATCCAATAACACTATTTAAAAAGAAATTGGAGCTTCTTCCAAGTCCTAGCCAACAATCCTCCAGCCCAAATTGGTCATTTACTTCTAAGTAGTTTATGCTCGCATCGACTGTCATGATTGCCTACAAATACATTTCTACATTTTATAGAAACTTTGTAAAGTGCTTTATTTTATCAACATTATAAATGCTATATGCAAAGATTATTATTTTAGTATCATCCGACCATTGTGAACTACACAAAAAAACACCCCATCCTTGGGGATAGCCTCCTCTGAAACCCAAAATCAATTAAGTAGAAACTCTACAATATCCTTCCATCCTCACATCTTCTCCAGTAAAATGGTGCCACTTCAACTAATTGACACCTTTCATTCCATCCCGAACTCCAGTTATAAACTGTATTGTGTCCTGTTGAATTTGCGTTAAGTTCTATTTTGGAAGGTTTTCTTTCTCATTTTCTTCTTACTTTGTGCATATTCCATAAAATCTGACCAATGTTTTGCCAGACTGCAGCAGAGAATACAATCAGTCATTTGGCTATCTGAAGAGTCCTGGCTGGCCTGCTGAATATCCCAATAATCTGAATTGCAAAATCATTCTTCGAGCTCCAAAAAATCACAAAATCTCCCTCTTCTTCAATGCCTTTTATCTTGAATTACAAAAGGATTGTAAACTTGACTACTTAGAGGTAAGAATTTTTTTTTAATTCCATCTTAGCAATGTTAACTGTTGTCAACCTGGCTCCATTGGCATTATCGCCTCCGAGGTGTCAGTTTAAACCCCACATGGAGACATTGAACTCCTGTAATCCAGGCTGATATCCTAATGCTGTGTTGGGGGGTTGTTCCGTTGTTGGGGTGAGGGCATTCAGCATAAAATCTCCAATTGTTTAAAAACTTTGTCAAGGCTTAAACAGAGGGACAGGATCTGGGCAATGATTGACTAAATGTATTTAATTGATAGTGAATTAATGTGCACATGATTTGTATGTTAAACAATTGTTTCCTTTATTATAGTTCCACAGTCAATGATTATACAAAGAGCAATAACCCACTATTGCAAGACATGATAATGGTAGCAATCAGGTTGTCAGAAAAATAGGTATTGATTAGTTACCTATCCTTGGGAGAGTAGCAGGCAGCTGGGAGTTGGTCAGATCTGCATCTCATTGTTTTTGACTGAACTTTCTATTTTGATACCCAATTGGTTATTGTGTAAAGCCCAGAATAATCCAATAGCGCACACACCCTTAAGGTTACAACTCATAGGCCTGATGCTGTAGAGCATGTTTAGCAGCCGTGTTCGGACCACCAGGTGTCCATTTGACGCCAACTAAAATATTTTCTTCCAAGTGTTTTCTCCAATTGTCCTGATCAGCAGGCACATTCCTGGAAAACGAAATCAAGGCCACAGTGTTATTCTGCATCAATTTCTGCAGTCAACATTTCTAACATACCTTTTTACATTTTATGTTAACTCTTTCCTTACAGAGGCACTCAGGAAATTTCACGATATGTAACCAGTCCACCCTGGATGAACCATTAAAACTGTTTCCCTGTTCAGGTGGATGTTAAAGATCCCATGGAACTATTTAAAAAGTGAAGGGAGTATCTCCCAGTGTGTTGGACAACAATCTTTGCCCCCGCACCACACCCCTCCCCTTAAAAAAAATGGTTGTTCGCATCATGGGTAAATGCTCTGCATAAATTTACAGTGTTTGACTATAAAATACACTGTCACTACACTTTAGAGAATATCCTATGAAGTGCAGAGAAATTCTCCCAACTTAAAAAGCACTATATCAAATGCAAGAATTACTATTGGTATTACCTATGCTTGTACCTCTTCTTCTATTCTCTCTTCCCTGTTTTCCTGCTCTCTTCAAAATATTGATTAAATCCTTTATCTTTCCATCATCCAATTCAAATTTGTAAGATTCAGCATTGTTCTTGCACAATGATTGGTTCTGATGAAGAAGATCGTTCAACCCATCTGATCTCATTCTTCCAGAACACCCACCTTCTGTCCTCCCATCACATCATCACATGTCAGGAAAAACTCTCCTCTTTTCAAATATGGAATATTTAACATACATTTGAAAAGTCAATATGACCTTGGATTAACGTTTTACCAGACGAGCCATCCTTCGGATGATACATCACACCCCAATGCATTGATGATTTCATATTAATAATGTACCTTCAATGCATTATTAGAGGTCTGGACTGTGAGTTCAAAGTCTCAATGTAGGCCTTGAACCCACAAATTTCTGTACCCAAGGCGAGAGTGCTATCAACCAAGCCAGCCTGACTTCATGTGCAAAGAATAAGAAAAACTGATGTAAAAAGGAAAACTATTTCACTTTTTAGGATCTAATGACCACACTAACATATATCAGTTAAGATAATGTTACCAAGTAATATTCTAAACTGTCAATTACAGCAACTTGTATTTATGTAGTCCCTATCACATAGGGAAATATCTCAGAATGCTTTACAAAGACAAGTTGGCCATAGTTATGTTCGAAAAATTAGGTTTTAGAGGTGGGAGAGGTGGCAAAACGGAGGGGTAGAAAGATGGAGTTCCAGAGTTAAGAGGTTTAGAATCTGAATTACAGATGAAGGCTGGACGCTAACTCTTTTCTTTATCTCTATTCAGGTACACAATGGTACTCCAGGCCATGAACAAGCAATTGGCAAGTTCTGCGGCTATCATCTACCTAATCCTATCTTTTCTCACACTCATGAACTAACGCTAATCTTCAAGTCTGATGCAATAAGCACCTATGCTGGCTTTGAGATCACCTGGACCTCTTCTCTAAATGGTATGAGGTCAATCGAAAAAAATAAAGATGTATTTCAGCGTTAAGTACACTTGGAACTGGCTTACACATAAAATTGATCCAAAACAGCAACGTTACTGCTTAAACATATCAGTTTAATTTATTCTTTCTTTATAAAAAAAGCACCCCAGAGAATACAATCTAATAAAATTAAACTGGCATTCGGCTTTATATTACAATTTATGAAATCTTCAAAAAGTCTTAGTTAGATTACAGCCTTATAATCACTGCCAAGTAAATATTATCTATTTATTATAAAATAGTATTAATAGTAGTAATATTATGACAGTGGAGTGAACCAAAATTATTACAACACTATTAATAAAACGGAATCACCAACATGGCCATTATTCATGTATTCATTATTCCACTCTTTGTAACTCCATCCCAGAGTCCCTCCTACTCATTTCCTCCCTCATCTCATTCACCTCAACTCTCGAAAACTCTCCCTCAATCCCTTCGCCCTGTCTCCTCTCTCCCCTCTTTCAAGTCCCGCCTGAAAACTTTCCTCTTCAACCGTGCCTACGGCCATATCCCCCCTCCCCCTGGCTCGGAGTCAGGTTCCACTACTGTTATGCACTCTGTGATGCTACCCTACGTGGAGGGTGCTATGTAAGTGCAACTTGTTGTCAAGGTCCATCTCAAAACCTACCTCTTTTAACTGAGCTTTTGATCATCTTTCCCTCCCTACCCTAGAGTTTTCACCCACAGCATGGGTGCCAAGACAGGATTGGTAAGCATCTTTGGGATGTCCTACCAACATGAAAAGTGCTATATAAATGTAAATTTCTATTGCATAGTATGAGTCTCGACAGTGAAAATTGACTATTTGACCAGATGGGCAACAAAGCTCAGCCCTATCCTGTCCTCAGCCAATACTAGACTCTGGGTATCTGAAATTCAAACCGAGCTGACTGGGCCCAAAACTCAAAATGTTTTTGAAAACATTTCCGGGGATCGACCTCGTGTAGCCTCCCACTGGGCTCAACTTTCTTAAAGCACACCAACGCTGCACTGAGCAGCCTCACCATCCTTGCTGGTCTTCACAGTGGCCAAGAATATCAACTTTGACTCAATTGATTGAATCCCTCAATTAGAAGACAGCTTATTAGCTATCTTCTGCTTGCGGGATTGAAACAATTACAATTCTTAAAGAATGCTAGTAAAAGCCAGCGTAATTACACTTAACCAGAAATTCCATCTCACCGGACTGGATTTCCCCCCCATAAGTTCAGCTAGCCAGGGTTTTAGTGTATTCAAAAATAAGACTGGTCAGATGGTTAAGAAAGAATAAGTTGAGGAAAGCCCGGATATGGGACCAGGGATAGTATCAAGGATAGACACTCATGTAGAGTACAAACACCGGTCGACTGGTCAGTTTCTGAGCATTACCATCTATGAGCTGAGCCCTTTTCCCTTGGAGTGACGAGTTATCAGGAATTTACTGTTATTATAATAATAGACCTCCATAAGCTTTTCAAGGCTCTGATTTTCTGTCCTATGTTTTTAATTTCCGGTGCAGAGTGTGGTGGAACACTATATGGACCCAGTGGTTCCTTCTACAGCCCTAACTACCCTGAGGACCATTATGACAACACTGTCTGTGAATGGATCATTCAGGCACCAGTAGGACGAGTCATAACATTCAATTTCCCAGTCTTGAGTATTGATGGGGAGTGCAAGAAAACCTACCTAAATTTCTATGATGGTGTGGATTCCAGCTCAAAACTTATTAAATCATACTGCGAAACGGTAGGTAGAAAAAATGTTTGTCAATAATCTAATTCCCTCTATTCATATTCCATTGACATTTTATTCTATCACTAATAAATCCACAAAATTGTCTAGCTTTTAGAGGCTGAGGGTGAATTTGGACGCTAAGTAATTATGTCATGAGAAGGTATCTGTAGTGCATCAGCCTGGTTCAGTTGTTAGCACTCTCCCCTCTAGGTCAACGTTGTAGGTTCAAATCCCACATTTGGTACTGGAAAGTCGTAGTCTAGGCTGACTTTCTGGTGCAAAGCTGGGGAGTGCTGCATTGTTGAAGGTACCATCCTTCAGATGAGATGTTAAACTGAGATCCTATGTCTGTTCAGGTGCACAGTGAAGATCCCAGGGCATGACCTCCTCCCTTCTGGACAGTCTAAAGGGCTACATAAATAGTGTAAATCTTGACCTAGATGGAATTTTTCTCAATTGATAGGATTGCTAACACGAAAGGGTGTGTATTAGGGAACTAGACAGCTGCATTCAGTTAGCAGGCCACTCTTGCTATTTGGTATCTCAATAATAAACAAATGATCAGAAGTCAAGTGGTAAAGAATTTTAGCCAGTGGGTGTACTCAATTGGATAATTCACAAGAAAAGATTTGTAGCAAAATGTTGATTGCAGGGGCATTTCCTCAATTCCAAGCATTCCTATGTTCTTAATGGCATTCTCTGGCAATACTGTACTGTTTGATCTATAAGAACTTGCAGTATGTTTCTGACAAAGGTTTCCCTCCTTTTCTTACAGGATACTATTGCGACTTTCACTTCTTCTTCTTCCAATGTCTTTGTGAAATTCCATGCGGAGGACGCATTTCCATCCTCCAAATTCAGAATACTATGGACCAGTTAAATTACACCTACAGGATTTTACACAATATAATACAATAAGTTTATTTCAGTAATTTGTTTTGTTAAACTGACAAAAATGCATTTTGCAGACAACTATTTAGCAGCTATGACTGACCTGAAGATTTGCCAAATTCATCTGTAAACCTTGCTTTGCAGAAGTGTACAGAATGTCTTTGTATTGAGATCAGTATAGGTAGATAGTCCTAGCAGTTCTGAACAGCAGGATGGGAGAAATGTAATTCCTGATCATAGAGGAAAGAGGTTAGGGAGTCTAAGTGAAAAGGGAATTGTGAAAGGATAGACACATTGAAAGAAGTGATAAATTTAGAAGAAAGCACAAAATGTGAAACTAGTACATTTTGGTACAAATGTGAAATTAAATGAAACTGAATGTGTGGAAGGAGGGGAGCATGTGAACTAAATAGTTGAGCTATCAATGGATTACATTTCAATGGTAATTCTGTATCATCAGAGCAAACAAAAGTTTCTTAATTGCTTGTATCACAGATGGTCTTATTTGAGAATTACATTGCAATAAGTTTTCTGGTTGTAGAATTTGCTGTTTAAGATAAATAATATGATGGTCAGTGCCAGTGACTGGCATTGATCCACAATTAGTAATATCAAATGAAAAATTATTCTCCCTATTAAAATATATTAATAAAAACCTGATAGGTTTTTGTGAATCATTATAGTGAGCAACCTAGGTGTCAGGTTCGACCCCCAATTCTCCTTCCTCCTCCACATCCGGTCCCTCACCAGTACTGCTTTCTTCCATCTCTGACGCATCGCCCGTCTCTGCCAATACCTCTCTCCGAAAGCCGCTGAAACACTGGTCCATGCCTTTGTCACCTCTCGGCTGGACTATTGTAACGCCCTCCTCGCCGGCCTCCATCCACCATTATCCACAAAATCCAGATTCAAAACTCTACCGCCCACATTCTCAACCGCACCAAACTCCACTCCCCGATCACCCCAGTCCTTGCCAGACTGCACTGCCTGTCTGTCCCAGAGAGGATCAACATCAAGATCCTCATCCTTGTCTTCAAATCCGTCCACTCCTCTGCAGCTCCCCCTCCCCCCCACCCATCTCTCTGACCTCTCTCCTCAAAACAGTGCCCATTGCCTCCGTTCCTCTCGGTCTGGCCTCCTCCTTTCCCCCAAGCCCTCCGCTCCACCCTCAGCAGCCGTGCCTTCAGCCACTATGCCCCGAGGTTCTGGAACTCCCTTCCTCACACCCTTCACCTTGTCCCCTCTCTTCCTATTTTCAGGTCTCTACTGAAGACCTTTCTTTTCGACCGCGCCTTTGGTCACCTTCATCCCCCTCCCCCTGGCTCGGCCCCAGGATCTGTCACTGTGAAGCGCTCTGAGACGCCGTCCGGTGTGGAGGGTGCTATATGAATCCAAGTTGTTATTGTTGAAACATTCATTCAATAATTAACCAGTGCAAGATCGTATACGCAGCTAGCTGTATGGAAGGTAAACCACAAGAAAGGTTTGAATGAAGAAAGCCATTTGGCTCATTTGATAATGTGTCATCTGGCTTGGTAAGTAGCACTCTTGCCTCTTGAGTTAGCAGATTGTAGGTTCAAGACCCACTCACATCAGGACTCGGAACCCAAGCCTATGATGACACCCCAAAGCAGTGCTGGGGGAGTCCTGCATTGTTGGAGGTGTCGTCTTTCGGATGAGACATGAAACCAAGTCCTCTTCAGGTGATAATTAAAGATCCCATGGCACTAGTTAAAGATGGAAGGGAGCTTATCCTGGTATCCTGGCCAAGAATCCCTCAAATGAATGCGCTCATTCACTTCACAGCTGTTTAGGGACATTGCTGTGCACAAATTGAGTGTTGTGTTTGCCTACAAAATACTCAGTCACTACAATTCACAGTAAATTGTGTGAATCACTTTGATTTGTCCTTTCTCTGCTGCCATGTAGACCCTTACTACTTAAGTGCTCATTAGTGGGCGATAATCTCTATATTTACTGAACTGCACAAGGGAAACTATCGTCTCAGCCCCTGATATTTGGAGGTGTTTTCATCCCTCCCCAATTTGATAGACATTATGCATTATGTTTCATTNAAAAAAGATATCATATCCTGTAAAACTTACTCCCTTTGACTGGATCCTATGCAAATCCAGTTGGTTTCTCTCCCTCCAAGATTTGGATTATTTGAGTGAAAACAAATGTGTTAAATTTCTGAAAATTAGAAGCACATCCGAAAGCAAATTAGGACTAAATCAGTAAAATCGGGGATAAAATCATACTTTTGGTGCCATGCATTTTGCATCATTCAACTGAGTTCCATTTCTTTTGGAGGGAATCCGCATGTATCCCTTATGGCATCCTGTTCCCTAAAAAAGAAATTGAACCTTTAATTGTAAAATATAACTCCCATTAAAGCTGCCTTGACTTCTACTAGTTGTTCTACCTATTCCGATTGGACTCTGCTTTCGACATTGGTGATGCTTGCTCTATGTTATACAGGACTTAAAATATCTTCCCTTTAGTTTAATTTTAACCTGACATTATATACTCACTGGTATAAAGATTTGCAAGATATGCCAGAGTATTTGCAATTTATTACAATTACAAGACAGCTACAAAGTTTTCTGATTCAATGCTATATCCAATTCAAACAGTTCCTTCTAACCTATTGCTCATATTTGTTTTTCCCAAACATTGTTAGAGTAACGGAACAATTGGACAAAGTGGCACTGCCTGGTAACATATCTGTTACTTTAAGTTAATCAATTCCCTCACATTGGCAACACTTCCGATATCACAGTTTGCTCTTTAAAGGTTAAAAGAACTGGCTGCATTTGCCAGCTATATGCAGGTGCTGAGATGCTGTTTGGTTTTCCACAATCAGGTCAAGGGTTTTAGTTTCATCTTCAATTGAATATAGAGGAACATCGATAGTAGTTAATAAAGTATGAGCATGCTAGGGGTGACCTCAGTGCACCCTTCCTAGCATCAACAACTGGTAAACAATCCTGCAATTCTTCCCACTTAGTTCCTGTTAACTGTAAGCCAAAGCCCTAGGGTGGTCCTATCTAAACAACTAGTGAGAAGCTTGCCAGACAGTGCTTTCAGTGGCAAGCTATAATAATAATAATCCTCACATTTGATATAGTGCCTCATCACATCGTTGTGACATCTCAACAGGTTTTACAGAATATACTGTAAGGTGAATTGACTATATTTTGTCAACGAAAGCTATGTGGTTTTAGCTATTTAAATTTCAGTAATGCTGGGTTCTCTAAGCTTTGGGTCTTGCCAACATGCACCTGATACTCTTGGATTTGGGTAAGTAGATTGCCTCCCTCCGGGGAGGGAGTGCTCATTCCATTCCAAATACTGTTAAGCAATGATGATGGATTTCCACATGTGTCAGATGCTCAGCTGACCAAAAAAAGGAAACAATCCTGTTTATATCTACCAGTGGAAGGTGCCGGTGTTAGACAAACTGGGATTAGCCCACTTGTGTTTTTGGAGTCAGTGGTAACTCTATTGGTGTATCTTGTTTAGAGGTAATGATTGAATTTAGCTCAGGAAAATTTAAATCATTTTTCTGCCAACTACAGTACAAGATATGGCAGTCCCAAAGTAACTAATGGAACAATTAGACTAGTGTGATTTGGTGCCTTAATAATAATGGCCATACCCAATAGAGGCAAGGAGTGTGAGGCATTGCAAGGAAGTTCTTTCATATCAATTCAGCTTTGCATAAGTTGTAGAATAATTGCAGTCTAACTGCATCCAGTAGAAAAGAAAGTTTGGAAATAAGTCTGAAACAATCCTACCTTTAGGTCTACCTTTAAAGGCAAGTGCAATTTATTAAGGAAGGGGGAAAATTAATGGGGGATTACCAGATCTTTATTATCATTATTTATTATCATTTCAGATGCCAGTAGAGCAGAAAGCTCTGTGTGTATTGATGCTTAAACAGAGCTTAACTCAGTTGGAGCTACCAAGTTACACCAGTACATTTAGTATAGCTTTAATGCAATATTTATTAAATGATCAATTACTTTTACGAGTTACTTATTGACAGGCAATGAGAATATTCTCTGGCAATTCATAAATAATAAGGAACAATGAGAGGAACACAGTAGATGTGTGATTCATGATAAATAGAGAAAAGAACATAAGTTAAGGGTTCATAGAGTAATTTCAGGATAGATACAAAGTATTCCTTTACCTGGAGCATAATTAATGCCTGGAAAGGTGGTTGAACCAGAACAGCTTGATGCTGTAATGGTGATCTCGTGAAAGTCTAGGTTGGTGTAACTATAAACTGTTTTCTATTTGAGTTCTGGTTCCCAGGACACTGGTTTAACACTTTGTTGTTGTGTTATGTCAGTATCCTACACATCAGCTCACAAACATGTTTGGATAAGCCAATGGTGGGTACAGGTGGCTTCCCCTAAACATTGTTATGAAGTGGTGGGAGGAAGGGAAGAGTCATACAGATTGCCAGACATCAACAGTTTTTCTTTGTCTGGCAAGCTTTCTGCTACTTGACCAGCTAGGTCCACCCTACCTGTTTTGGCTTTGTTTTCAGGGTTAACATGAGACAAGTGAGAAGAATCACTGCCACCAATGACCAATTTGCCCCTCGCAGACCTTTCGCTTAGCCAGGCTAGCTGGTCTGTCATCAGCCCTGGATTACTGAGGAACCACCAGGCGCGAGGACTGGATTACTGAGACTCCCACAGAAGCTTGACTCGAATTTGACATTCTGTTGCCAACCATGTCACCATGTGGCCAGCTCAGATCTAAGGAGCATCAACACAATTATCTCTAAAAATACATCCACAGAGCAAAAAGTAGCATGTAAGGTAACAATAACAACAAATTGCATTAATATAGATGTTAGAATTTTAACTTGCACATAGCAAAAAACACTGCTTGGAGAATACCTACTGTCAAATTGTACCCAGTACAATTAAACTTTAAATAATATTATGTTAAAATTTTCTTGATGGGCCAGTGGCCTATCCTTATGAGGGTAGCCTGCATCTGCATTATAACTAACCTGCACCACCATCATTCCAATGCCCTTTTCGAAAAGAGATAATGTGTAGAAAATACTTTTGTTTCCTTGTCTCTAAACATGCAGCATAACTGCAGGACATAGATTCAAGATAATTGATAAAAGAACTAGAAGGGAGATGAGGAGAATTTTTTTTAAACGCAGAGAGTTGTTACGGTCTGGAATGCACTGACTGAAAGGGTGATGGAAGCAGATACAATAACAACTTTCAAAAGAGAATTGGATAGGTACTTGAAAAAGAAAAGATTTCAGCGGTATGGGGAAAGAGCAGGGGCATGGGACTGATTGGGTAGCTCTTCCACAGAGTTGGCACAGGCACATAGGGCCAAATGATCTGCTTCTGTGCTGTAATATTCTATGATTCTATGATAATCATTCCCATTAAAATTAAGCCAATGTTTGGAAACATGAGTGGAAATTAACATATTGAATGATTTGTGATTTTATGCTGCTGCTTAAATGGATATTAACATTCTTAGGGAAAGCATATTGGCATGAATTAATAGAAGTAACAATTCCAATAAACATTACTAACATATTCTAATATCCACTTACATTCTTATGTCCTTGCTCTTGTTTACATACAGACTTTGCTAGCATTTAAGCTTCAATTCTAAAAGGTCCTTATCCTTGCATCTGTTGCTGCCAAACATAACCAGGCTCTAAAATTAGAGCCACTTTAACATTATCAGTGGCCTAGTAACAGGAAGTCTCTGAGAAAATTGACCTTTCTGTATCAACTTCATTTCACTGACAGACGGAAAGGCTCGGTACCATTGTTTATTGTTGAAAGGAAGCAAGAGGTTTAGGTTATTACACGCCTGGTAATTCTCTTGATTTGCAGGAGGTTCAACTGGGACTAGAAAGAACCATGTGCATGTCTAAAAAGGTAAGAGAATATATCACCTGTGATAGTAACAAATAATCTGTGTTACTGTTTTAAATTACCTGGCACATTTGTCTACATTACAACAGTTAGTGTAAACAAATTGAGAGGTTGTCATCTACTAAAGTGTTGTTCTACTTTACACTTTAAATTTACTAAGCAGAATTAAATCCACATTTACGAGCCAACGGAAATCATGTTTAGAACAGAGTATTTTTGATGGTCTGATTCCGGATTGAACATATCTCATTCCTGTACATTGCATGTTCCATTATGAGTGTGGGCAACACGTGGAAATCAAGGAGGAGACTGTTTTGAATTTGACTTATTATCTTCTGGCTGCACACTGCAGTAACTGCGTGAAGCTTCTTCGGCAGTGTCACTTCCTCTTGCGTGCCTGTCGCAAGTCGTGGAGTCCACAATTCTCTTCTGTTAAACACTGAAATGGCATACATGGCGTGCCAGTGGTACAGATTCCATGTGGTTGCTTATTAGTTTGGTGCTCATTGTACCAATTTCAGTGCTGCTGTTAATGGCGAGACATGAATAGTAGAGTTCAGAGGTTTCCAAACTTTCTTTTGCTGTGCTTCTATCCTTCCCCCCACCCTCCCTTTCGAGGTTCATTCCTATGCACTTCCCCATATTTTTGCATAGAACAAGAAGATTTTATTTGCTCGGCTAATATTGCTTAAGACAGAAATCAACATAAATAGCACAGTGCCACTACTCATTCTATCATATAACTCTACTGGCACTTGGCCTACATTTTTACAACACATATGTACTGTACCATGAAAAGCAGATAATAATAGAAAGTATATAATACACATACACATTACGTCTGTCTTCTATCTATCTATCTTATATATACTAATACCAATAAAACGACGATATCTGTCTGCGCGTCAAGAAGGATCTCAATAACCGATTGACATAGAGACATGATATATAACTCATCAGAAAGGTCTTGTAACTGGGAGTGACATGGGCATATTTGTTTTCAAGTATCTCCTATCGTTCAGTTGTATTCAGTTTCGCATTTTTCACTGCAGTTACACCTGGTGGCCCCCAAGTCAAAGTGGCGCAGTGGCATTCTACGTCACAGAGCACCTACGTATGTACCCACTCACTGTAGTTACACCTGTGGCTGGCCAGATGACCGTGGCGCTGTGGCATCCTGCTTCAGAGCAGACACGTAGTTAACCGGTGGTAATAAAATAAAGAAAACAAATGAAGCTAAGCCACGGAAACAACAAAATTACATTTTTAAAGCCTGAGTCCTACCACAGGAGACCTCCCAGATGAGTATAGATGAAGATGAAATGTCTGTTTGTGAATCAGGAATTCTGTAGCTCAGTGGTTAGAACACTTGTCTTGCAAGTGAGAGACCTGGGTTCGATTCCCAGCAGGGCAAAACCTTGGGCAAGTTTCCTTACTCCATATACCTAATAATAATCCCTCAAAAAAAGAATAATTAATAATAATTTGGTCACTTAATCCAAGATTGTTTGTGAGGCACTCCTGTGTGCAATTGGCTGCCACATTTTGCCCACAAACATACAGTCAATTCACTTTAAGGTATAGTCTGTGAAGCGATTTGAGATGTCTTGAAGACGCGCTATATCAAATTATTATCATTATAATCTACATTCCGTACTGGATCCTTTGGTTGCAAGCATAGCTGCAACAGGTATAGTTATCATAGAATCACAGAATTATACAGCACAGAAGGACATCATTCAGCCCATCGTGTCTGTGCCGGCTCTTTGAAAAGAGGTGTCCAAATCAATCCCACTCCACCGCGCTCTCCCCATAGCCCTGCAAATTTGTCCTACCCAAATAATTATCTACTTCTCTCTTAAAAGTTGTTATCAAATCGGCTTCCACCACCTTTTCAGGCAATGCATTCCAGATCTGAACAACTCGCTGTGTGAAAATATTTCTCCTCACTGCCCCATGGTTTCTTTTACAACTATTTTAAATCGGTGTCCTCGGGTTACCAACCCACCCGCCAGTGGAAATAGTATCTCTTTGGTCACCCTATCGAATCCCCTCATAATTTTGAAAACTTCTATTCAGTCTCCTCTTAACCTTCTCTGCTCCAAGGAGAATAATCATAGCTTCTCTAGTCTCTCCTGATAACTGAAGTCCCTCATAATAATAATCATAGTAATAATCCTTGCATTTGATATAGCGTTTTTCAAGTCTTCTAGAGGTCTCAAAGCCCTTCACAGAATATGCTGTAAAGTGAATTGACCGTATATTTGTGGGCGAAACGCAGCAGCCAATTGCGCACAGCAATGTCCCACAAACAGTCGTGGACTGAAAATGAACAATTTATTATTGTTTTTGTTTTGGAGGGATTATTATTATTATTATTATAATATTATTATTATTGTGGAGTAAGGAAACTTGCCCAAGGTTTCGCCCTGCCTGGAATTGAACCCAGGTGTCTCGCTTGCAAGGCGAGTGCTCTAACCACTGAGCTACAAGACTCCTCATTCCCGGTATCATCCCGGTAAATCTCTTTTGCACCTTCTCCAATTCCTTGACATCCTCCTAAAGTGTGTGCCCAGAACTGAACACAGTCTCAAGCTGAGGCCTAACCAGTGTTTTGTAAAGGTTCATCATAACTTCCTGACTTTTGTATTCCATGCCGTTATTTATAAAGCCTAATATCCCATATGCTTTTTTTAACAGCTTTATCTACCTGTCCTGCCATCTTCAAAGATTTACTTATATGACCCCCAGGTCTCTCTGTTCCTTCACCCTGTTCACCACCACTTTCTGCTTTCTGTCTTCCAGCCAGTTCTGTATCCATGCTGCCACTGTGCCTTTAATGCCATGGCCTTCTATTTTGCTTACAAGTCTCTTATGTGGCACTTTATCAAACGCCTTTTGAAATTCCATATAAACTACATTAACTGCTCTACCAAGCTAGTTGCATATAAATACACTTACCTCCCTCTCCAACTCTCTTCCCATTGCTCTCCACACAGAGAGCCATGTCCAGAAATAGGTATACAGTAATATAATAATATAAGCTGTATTTAGGGGATCTTCTGTTACTGTATAAGTATTATACAGGAGGACATGGGGGAAGAAAATTCAAACATTAGTTTACTTTTCATCCAAAGACCTTCCCAGCACAAAGCCACACATGTGTGTTGCCAGGTTCTCTCCCAACCTCGTGTCAAGCACTGTAGCCCCATCCTGCATCTGTGCTCTCACCTTGTGTCTCTGTCCTTGGCACACCCTCTCACTCACACATCCATGCACTATAAAAAGCTGACAACAATATTAATAATAAGCCTTGCATTTGATGTAACGCTTAATCACATCATTGAGACGTCTCGAAGCTCCTCACAAAAATATACTGTAAAGTAAATTGACTGTATATTTTGTGGATGAAATGCGCAGAGCAGTGAGTGCCCCACAGACAGCTGTGGTTGGGATGACCAAATTATTAATTTTTTTTTGCAACCGGCAAGGGGGTACAGGTGGCAACCGTCATTCGCTCACTGATAACCTCGTCAGCTCTAGTAGAGAACAGCTAATGGTTACCACTGACTGGATACAGACTGTGCTGAGTGGAGTGTCCATGAGCACAATGCAATTTACATTGATGTAGCAGCTTTCGTGGCAAGAGGATGTCACAACTGGCTTGACATTTCTGGCTGGGCACCAGAGCTGAGGATAATAATAATAATAATAATAATAATCCTTGCATTTGATATAGCGCTTCTCACGTCTTCCAGACGTCTCAAAGTGCTTCACAGAATATACTGTATATTTGTGGGCGAAATGCAGCGGCCAATTGCGCACAGCAGTGTCCCGCAAACAGTCGTGGATTGAAGTGACCAATTTTAGTATCGTTTTTTTTTCTTGAGGGATTATTATCAGGCGTGTGGAGTAAGGGAACTTGCCCAGGGTTTCACCCTGTCGGGAATCCAACCCAAGTCTCTCGCTTGAGAGGCGAGTGCTCTAACCACTGAGCTACAGGACATCTGATGGGAACTGAGGTGGGTGGGAAGGTGAAAGATGACCAAAGGCACTGTCCCATTGGTCAGTCTTGAGACAGACCTGGATGGCAGGTGAGGGAGGGAGTGACACTGTGGGACCAGCGCTCAGCCTCCTACACCAATGGGAAGCTGGCAGTCTCCTGCGCCTGCATGGATTGGCTGGAAGCGCGGAGGAGGGGGGGGGGGGGGCTGAGCAGGGAGGGTGAGTGGCAGCTGGCATCCCCGATTGCCTGGTTCTGATTGGCTGACTGGCTCAAAGGGGGCTGGCGAGTTCTATGGTCTGATTGGCCGCTTGTTGTCCCTGTCGCCGGATTGGTCGGCGGCTGCCAATCGCCTGATTGGCTGCTGCAGCCGCTGCTCAGGTCGGCCTCCAGTGCAAATATCCTTTTAAAGCCAAAGCCTGAGAGAGAGAGGGAGAGGGAGGGAGACAGTGAGGGGACTGACTGCTGACTCAGGGGCGGGAGGGAAAGAAAAGGGTCGGACTCACTGACTGACTGACTGACGGTTCGGCCTCTCAGGGGGAGGAGGGCCTGGGGGTTGGGGTTGGGTTGTGACGGGGGAGGGAGGCGGGCGGTAGGCAGTTCCGGTGGAGACGGACAGTGAGGAGGAGGAGAGGGAGACGGAGAGGTCGGGTAACGGCTTCTACGTTTGAATTTATTATTGTGTGTTTTTATTTTTTTTTGTTGTAAAAAAAAACGATTTCTCTGTTAAACGTTAAACGAGAGTCTTTCCCCCCGAGAGTGGGTGTGTGTGTGAGAGAGAGAGGGAGAGAGAGGGGGTGTGTGTGTGTGTCAGATCAGCTGCTTGTTTGTACCGAGGAAGTATGTGCCCTCCTCTCTCCCCCTCCCCCCCTCCCTCCCTCCCCCTCCCTCCCCTCAACCCCCCCCCACAAAAAAAAACTTGCAACGAAAATAAACCGACGAAGAGGAAAAGTATGTGTAGCCTCAGGGCCCTCCGTCGAGGGCCAACTCCCTCGTTCTCCTGAGCGATAAGGGCTTTTAAATGTAACCTCCCCACAGCTTCACATCCATCCATCCAGTCAGTCAGTCCAGTCAGTCACTGGGGCCAAAGGGGTGGTCGCTCTGGGTAACATCTTCCTCTTCCTCGTTTTGTAATTAATTAATTATTCGGTCGTTTATTTTTTTTAAAAAAAGAAAAAAAATGTCTCTCTCTCTCTCTGCGCAGAGAATGTCGAAATCGCTGAAGAAACTGGTGGAGGAATGCAAGAAGAACCAGGGCGAGTTAGACCTGTGCGACAAGGGCATCTCCAGTATGGTGGACGTCCCGGGACTCTGTAAGTGCTCCGCGTGGGACCCCCCCCCCTCTCCCGCCCGCCCGCCCCCCCCCCCACCTCTCTGGTCTTCAGCCGGTTTCGTGCCGTCTTAATAAAACTTGCATTTTTTTTAAATGGAATGATAATAATAATAATTTGGTCACTCGCTCCGCGATCGTCTGCGGGACGCTGCTGTGAGCGATTGGTTGCCGCCTTTTGCCCACAAAAATATCCAGTCAGTTCACTTCGCGGTATATTTATTCTGTGAAGCGCTTTTGAGATGTCTCAAGGACGCGATAAGGCGCTATATCAAATGCAAAGATTATTATTATGTGATATATCGTTGGAATTCTTGGAAGTGCTTCACACGATATACTACAATGTGTAGTGACTGTTTGGCCTGATATAATCCAATAAAACTTGGATTTGATGCAATGACTGCCTTATTGTGTTGAAATGTAGCAAAGCGTTTCACAGGATTCACTGTAAAGTCACTATTGGTAAGTGAACCCACTGATGAAGCATTTTTGTTTAACTCGTAAATAAATAGTTAATCTACTTTATTCTGTGAAGCGCCTTGAGACATCTCAACAACGTGATAAGGCCATGTATCAAATCAAATATTATTATTAACTTTTCAGCTGAACTGTTATTCAAAAATTTTAATTTTGATGGCAAATTCTGGGGCAAAAATATCTGTAGTTGGAATCTGCCCAGGACCCTGTTTATACTCTCTTAGTTCCCATTCAGAACTGTTTATTTGATGCTTAACATACAGTATGGATCTGATGATGATAATAAAATAATAATGATAGTCCTTGCATTTGGTAAAGCATCTTGGGTTTAACAGGACATATTGTGAAGTGTAGTGACAGAGTGTTTTGTGGGCGAACGCGGTAGTGTAGTTGCGCACAGCAATGTGCCACAAACAGTCATGAAATTAATGACCAATTTTATTGGGGGGATTGTAGGCCAGGACACCGGGAGAAACTTCTCTTTTAAAAAAAATCCACCATAAGCAGACATGGTCTCAATTTAACATTGCATCCGAAGGACGGGTTCAATTGTGAAACATTGTACAAAAGATTTGTATTTCAGATCAACAGCTAAAATCCTTTTGGAAAGTATAAATCTTCAGGGTTCTGAAATGCTATCCCGCGCAAAGGGTACTAATCAAATTCAAGTTGTTGTAAATGGAAATGCAGTAAATTGTTTATGAATCTTTGATCCCCAGTTTTCATGACTGATCTAACGTCTTTGTAAAAAAGATTCTTCTGTAAAGATTTGGCTGTAAATCTTTTATAAACTTCAAATGATGCGTTTGATTCACCCAGCGTCTTACATATCAACACAACTACACTTTTATCATGCAGTAGTGATTGGCGAAATCCCTTCAGCTGTGAGAATAAATTCCAGAAATGACCTCCAATCACTTCTTTAAGTAATTTCACACACTAATAATATAATAATAATAAGCCTTGCATTTGGTGTATAGATATAGCGCCTTATTACGTTGTTGAGATGTCTCAAAGCGCTTCACAGAATATATTGTAAAAGGGATTGACTGTGCATTTTGTGGGTGAACCTTGTGTGCAAATCATATGTACAACATATTTGTGTCATAACTGTTGCTGAGTCAGGCTGACACACCATTGCACTTGTATTGTATTTCCATACAAATTTACAGTAAACTCCTGATAACTCTGGCTTAACTTGTCACTGTCACCTAAGTGGCCATGCTGTCAATATCCAGTTTGTTTCCCATGCAAAATATTAATAAGGTTTGCTTGTCACTGGTTAACCCGTAAATAGTCGCATTCTAGAAATTCTCGTAATAACACAATGTAAAATCGATCCATGACCTGAAGCGAACAGAAAAATATTTAGTTTTCACATATAACCTGGAAATGCAGTATCTTTGTTATATAATACACTATAGTGCATCTCCCGAGAAGTGGAGTTTCCAATACAGTAACAGAAATAAACAATAAGGAAACAACAAAAAAGTACATTAATAAGCGCATAATAATCTTTGCATTTGATCTAGCATCTTTTCACATCTTCGAAATGTCTCAAAGCGCTTCATAGATTATATTGTAAAGTGAATTAACTGTATCTTGTGAGTGAAACGCAGCAGCCAATTGCCCACAGCAGCGACCCACAAGCAATCGTGGATTGAGTTTTTTTTTGAGTGGATTATTACCCCCAGAAGAGCAATCCGCCAATCAACCAACAACCTACTTACTGCTAGGTATAAAGAGGCATGTGGAGTAAGGAAACTTGCCCAACGTTTTGTCCTGCCTGGGATTCGAACCCAGATCCTCTCGTTTGCAAGGCGAGTGCTCTAATCATTGAGCTACAGGAGTCCATGTCAAGTATATTCCTATAGATATGCTTAACAAGTTTTAACAAACTGACAGTCAAAGGGACCGGGGTTGTCCCATCATACTGACAGCTGCTCGCTCTACATGGGTGCAGTGTGCATTAGTGATCACAACACCCTCTTGTGGCCCTGGAGGACCTATGCCTAACTCGCCACACCAAATTGTACTGAGCACTTTTCCCTTTGAGTGATGAATGTTATCAGGAGTTTACTTAATGTATATATTGTACCTATTATATCGAGAGGATGTAGGGATCAGGGTGAAGGGAGGCAGAGAGGTGGGAGGGCAACCAAAGGCACGAACGAAGAGAAGGGTCTTTAGACCGGCCTTGAAGGAGGCAAGGGAAGAAGCGAGGCGAAGGGACTATGGGATGGAGTTCCAGGGTGTGTGGGCAGAGAGGCTGAAAGCCCAGCCAACGATGGTAGAGTAGGTCGGGCGGGAGACATGGAGCAGACCGGAGACCGCTGAAAGCAGGGAGCGGGAAAGTTGGTAGGGAGTCAGCAGGTCAGAGAATTAGGAGGGGGTAAGGCCTTGAAAGTGAGGACGAGGATCTTGAATTCGATCCTCTGAGGGATGGGGAGCCCGTGAAGTTGGGTGAGGGTGGGAGTAATGGGGTCACGGAGCCTGGTGCTCAAGAGTACATGAGCTGCAGAGTTTTGGATGATCCGCAACTTGTGAAGGGAAGAGTTGACAAGGCCAATGAGGAGGGAGTTTCCGTAATCGAGCCTTGATGTGACGAATGCGTGGGTAAGGATTTCGGTAACCTGAGGGGTGAGACAGTGGCAATGTTGCAGAGGTGGTGGTAGGCAGTGCCAGTCATGGCGTGGATGTGGGGGTGAAAGGACAGCTGGGGCTCAAACCGGACGCCTAGATTGTGCACTGGTTCGGTGAGCCAGCGAGGTTGAGGGTTTTAGATCCGCAGGAGCGAAAACATTTAAGTAGAGAACATTCATAGAATTTCTCACAGCTGAAGAGATTTCACCAATTGAGATTCACTATTGCATGATGAAAGTATAGTTATGTGTTGATACAATAAGACTCTGGGTTAATTGTGTGAAAATCCATTCCTGAGCCAGATGGCTCTGCAGCATTTCAGGGCACTGGTGATGACAGCCCAGTCAGCCTGGCTCATCAGCAGGACCTGGACGGGCCGACCAGTCAGTGAGGGCAGGGAGTCATCCCACTGATCTGTTAACCCTGCCAGCCAAAGCTCTGGGGTGGAGTGGTCTGAGCTGGACAAGCAGTGGGAAAACTTGCCAAGTAATGTTCTCAATGGCAAGCTATGCAGTTTTAGCTGGATGGACTCCAGCAGAAGTCTAACCAGCTAAAGTTTTGGCTCTTGAGCCATGTATGCCTAATAATTTCATTAATTAGGTAAGCAAGATGCGTCACTCCACGGAGAAAGTGTGCATTCCATTCCAGTAAATATCTCTGGAATATCCATGCACAGGTGGGATGCATGGAAATCTCAGTTTGGTTTAGTTACTGCATTCAGTATAGCGCCTTATGTGATCTAGACATCTGAAAGTGACTTCATTGTGTATTTCTAAGCAAAAGTGGCAACTCATTGGTACAGTAATGTCCCACAAATTCCCCTTCACTTTTCGAATATTCTCATAAAATCTTTTAAATTGAAATGTATTAACAATAGGTTTGAATTAATACAGGGAATGTAGGTGTAGGTTATCACTTCCATTAAGATTGGTTCTGTTTAGGGATGATTGAGATTGTTAATTTCCACTCACGTTGCCTTTTTTTGTTTGCAGTCAGCCTCTCCAACATCGCCCAGTTGGTGCTGAGTCACAACAAGTTGACAGGTAAGTGAGCTTCCAAGATCGTAACTCTCATGAAACCAGTTTCAATCTACAGTCCACCTTAGAAGCTCCCGAACCAATTTTCTGTTCCAGCTTACAAAAGATGGGCCTGGGGCCAATTGTAGAACTTCAAACTCTTTCCCCCCCCAACCCACCCCAGCCCTTCACTCGTCATGACTTCAATGTGTCTATCAAATTTCACAACACGCCCTCTTCCCCGCTAAATCAGGAATTGTGTTATTTTGAGTTTTTTGAACTACCAGATATGACAACAAAATCAGTAAAAACAAAAAATCACAGGAGATTTTTGCAAGGTATGGAATACCAGAAATAGTGATCAGTGACAATGGGCTATAATTTGTAAACAAAGAATATAGGAACTTTACGAAGGATTGAGGGATCCAGCACAGAACAGCATCCCTGGGATATCCACAGAGCAATAGGATGGTAGAGAAAATAGTGAAAAAATAGATAGAGAAGAAACAGAGGTTAAGTGAATCGGTGGTATCACCAGGCTGTATGAAAGGGAAAATAACAGCATATGTAATCCACAACTACTAGATAGTTTTTTTCGTAATAAAACAAGTCTGTTCCTACTTTTGTCCAAGCTGGCTGCGGTTTCTCGTGCCACATGATTGGCTCTAGCCTCTTTATTTTGATACATGGCATAAGGATCACTAGGTAAACATCTCTCTCAACTCTCACATGACACCTATCGCCTTGACCCCATTCTCACATATTCTATCCCGCATCTGCTTCTCTTCCCCTTCCCTCCACCCCAGCTGACATCTTCATCTCCCCATCATTATCCTATCTTAAAAAATAAAAAAAATCTTTACCACTCCAAACTCTCTAGCTCCAATCTACCCTTGTCCAAAGTGCTGGAACTTGCCGATGTATTCCAGCTTTGCTCTTTCCTCTTCCAACACTCTTTGTATGAGTCCTGGCTTCTGCCCCCATCCCAGCACCAAGACAGCCTTGGTCAAAGGCACAATTGATAACCTCTCCACCTGCAACCATGGCTCTTGGTGCCCTCTGGTCCTCCTCGATCTCTGCTGTTTTTAACAGGGATGACCACTTCATCCTCATCTATTATTTCTCCTACCTGGTAAATCAACAAGGCTCTGCACTTTCCTGGTTTTACTCCTACCTGTCCCAGCATTGTCTCTATTCTTACAGCTTTGCCTATGATGTTTGCATGGTCAAGTTTGGCATTCCACAGGGCTCTATCAATAATATTTCTTGCATTTGATATAGCGCCTTATCACGTCGTTGAGACATCTCAAAGCGTTTCACAGGATATACTGTAAAGTGGATTAAATGTGTATTTTGTGGGTGAAACACGGCAACCTGTTGTGTACATCAATATCCCACAAACAGCCAAGGAGTCAGTGACCAATTTTATTTGGGGGTTTGTTGGCCAGGGCACCAGGAGAAACTCCCTTCATTTTTGAATAGTGCCATGGGATCTTTAACATCCACCTAAAGAGGTAGATGGGACCTCAGTTTAATGTCTCATCCAAAGGATGGTTCTTAATCCTCTGCTTTTCCTCATTTCGTGCTCTCCAATGTGATGTTATCTGCAGTCCATTTCAAGATGTACGCCTAATATTGCCTGCATTTACATTGCTATCTCCACCCTTATCTCTAGGAATTCTGTCAGAACATTAAGTCCTCGATGAACCTTGAAGTTCTCTGACTCAACAACATAACTGAAACTTTCCTGCTTGACTCCTTGCTTCCTCAACTCGGGTGCCAATCATATTGACCTCCCCAGTTGCTCTCTCCAAATCGCAAAGCTAGCGATGCACACCTTTGTCTCCTCAAGACTCAACATTTCCAGTGCCTTGCTTGCTGACCTCCACAGCTACATCTCTTGCCAACGACATCACTCTATCTTCTCCTACACCAGGCTTCACAAACTCATCACCCCATATTTGGCTGGCTCCTCTGGTTTCCTATTTCCCTCATTGAATCAACCTTAACATCATTATCCTTTCCTCCAAATGCCTCTGTGGGCTTGCCCTCTGATCTCACTTAACTCAACTCTTCCCCCGCCAACACCACATTCCATCCACTCTGCTATCTGCGGCATGCTTCGTGTCCCATTATGGTTCTGCCCTATAGTTGATGGGTGAACTTTCAATCACTTTGCCCTGTTCTCTGGAACTCTTCCAAAATCACACCTCCTCTTCCCCTCCCTCTCTTCTTTCAAAACCAATCTTAACAACCCATCTTTTTGCCTGTCCCTATGAGTGATAGATCAGATTGGAAGTGTGGAGGAAATTGCTTGGGCAACAACAACAACAAGATTCCATTTATGAAGCGCCTTTCATGTCAGGAGGACGTCCCAAGGCGCTGCACAGTTGGGTCATGACCCGAGCAGGGGGGAAATGGTCAGGGGAGGGGAGGGAAGGGAGGGAGCGAGGAGGGGGAAATGGTCAGGGTGAGGGGAGGGAAGGGAGGGAGCGAGGAGGGGGAAATGGTCAGGGTGAGGGGAGGGAGCGAGGAGGGGGAAATGGTCAGGGTGAAGGGAGGGAGCGAGGAGGGGGGAAATGGTCAGGGTGAGGGGAGGGAAGGGAGGGAGCGAGGAGGGGGAAGAGAGTCGAGAGGGGAGCTGAAGGCTCGGTCAAAGAGAAAGGTTTTGAGACCGGCCTTGAAAGAGGAGAGGGAGGAAGCAAGGCGAAGGCACTGGGGGATAGAGTTCCAGAGCCTGGGGGCTGAGAGGCTGAAGACCCGGCCACCGATGGTAGGGCGATTGGGGCGGGGGACGTGGAGCAGACTGGAGCCGGAGGAACGGAGGGTACGGGCAGGTAGGTAGGGGGATAGTAGGTCAGAGAGGTAGGAGGGAGCGAGGCCGTGGATGGCCTTGTAGGTGAGGATGAGGATCTTGAAATCAATCCTCTGGGGGATGGGGAGCCAGTGGAGGCGAGCGAGGGTGGGAGTGATGTGGTCCCGAAGCCTGGTGCGGGACAGTACACGAGCTGCAGAGTTCTGAATGACCTGCAGCTTGTGGAGGGAGGTGCCGGGAAGGCCGGCGAGGAGAGAGTTCCCATAGTCCAGCCTTGAGGTGTGAGGACATCAATTTTTTTGGTCAGTCAGTTGTCTGGCACTTACGGAAGCCCATCACTACTCTTAACCTAACGTGAGAGTTTCATACATGTATGTGTGGATCCATCCACTCCGTCAAGAGTGAGGTTGATAGATTATTCAGAAGCTTGAGGTAGAGGATATTTCCAAATGTGTTTTTAACATTTCTTAAGTAAGGGATAGGATATTATTAGAAATCCAGCTATTTAAAACTCCATTGTTCTATTCAGAGGGCCAATGGCTGTTTGGCCAAACTTTAGGAAGATTATTTTATTGGCTTACTCCATCAATTACATTGTTCAGCAGGTTGGAGTCATGTCTGCAAATGGTAACTAGAATTCTACAATCTGAGTTCCCACCTACTGAAAAGATCTACGGAGAAGAAAATTATCTGTACATTACTTGGTTGGAAACGAATCAATCCTCTGTGGCAGTCTTTGTCGTCCTGTTCCTGAGTGTGCAATACTCCAAGGTACAGCTGATGACAGAACAGTCAGCCTGGCATTTCAACAGGATTTGGGGGTGGGTGAGACCAGTCACTGGAGGCAGGAATTCTTCCCACATGTCTCCTGTTAACCCTGTAAGACATCGGCCTAACAGGTTGGGTGGCCCTAGCTGGACAAGCAATAGCGCTCTCAAAGGCAAGAAATGCACTTTCAGATGGTTAAATTCTAGCAGTTCTCCAATATACACTCTGGGATTCTCAAGCACAGGTACAGGAAGGGGAGGGTGCTACTGTTAGTGAGCAGAGTAATGGGAACCTAGGAAAGGAAGAGAAGGAGGTCCTTCAGACACTGGTCCTGTCCAACAGATATGAGGTACTCGATTCCTGTGAGCACAAGGAGAATGACTGTGTGGAGGAGAGCCACAATGCAGACCAAGGCACAGTGGAGCAGAAGGCTGTCCGAAGCAGGGAAGAGCAGGTTAGAAATGTAGTTGTGATTGGGGATTCAATTTTTAGGGGAATAGATGGCATCCTCTGTACCCAAGAACAAGAGTCCCGAAAGGTGTGATGCCTACCTTACTTACCTGCCCGTACCCTCCGTTCCTCTGGCTCAAGTCTGCTCCACATCCCCCGCCCCAACCGCCCTACCATCGGTGGCCGGGCCTTCAGCCTCTTAGCCCCTAGGCTCTGGAACTCGATCCCCCAGTGCCTTCACCTTGCTTTCTCCCTTTCCTCCTTCAAGGCCGGTCTCAAGACCTTTTTCTTTGACCGTGCCTTCAGCTCCCCTCTCGACTCTACCCCCTCTCGCTCCCTCCCTTCCCTCCCCTCCCCCTGACCATTTCCCCCCTGCTTGGGTCCTGACCCAATTGTCCAGCGCCTTGGGACATCCTCCCAACGTGAAAGGCGCTCTATAAATGGAATCTTGTTGTTATTGTACCTGGTGCCAAGGTAAGGACACCTCGAAGCAGCTGAAGAGGAATTTGGAAAGGGAGGGGGCAGATCCAGTTGTCGTGGTCCATGTTGGGACAAATGACATAGGAAAAAACGGAGGAGATTCTGCAGAGGAAGTTTCAGGAGTCAGGCGCTAAATGAAAAGACAAGACCTCGAGGGTAATAACCTCTGGATTGTTATCCGAGCCATGTGCAAATTGGAATAGGGAGAAACAGATTAGGAACGTTAATACATGGCTAAATGATTTGTGTTGGAAAGAAGGGTTCCACTTCATGGGACACTGGCACCAATACTAGGACAGGAAGGAGCTGAAATGGGACGGGCTCCACCTGAAATGGAAGGGGACCAATGACCTAGTGGGAAGGGTAACAATAATAATAATTCTTGCATTTGATATAGCACTTTTCACGTAATCTAGACATCTCAAAGCGCCTCACAGAATATGCTGCGAAGTGAATTGACCGTATATTTGTGAGTGACATGCGGCAGCCAATTGCGCACAGCAGTGTCCCACAA